TGTTAAATGAAACGTGGCCTTCAGGAAAATTTAATTTGCTAATAAAATGGCAGGTTTATAATTAAATGAAAATATGATACACATAACAATTATATTTGTTACATTTTCTATCGAACTAAAAAACGTAATACTCCTATTCACTATTATTACATTATCGAAGAACGATTTCCACGTTCCTAGATATACGTAATTACTCGATAATTCTACGAAAGAGGAAAAGAGACAAAAATTAAAGTAGAGTAGAATAGAATAGAATTGAATAGAATAGAATAGAATAGGGTAAAGTAGAGTAAAGAAAAGAATCGTCATAACCCTCTCTCGTTAGTACCCTCCTTTTTGTTCTAATCAAATCTCTTCCTTTCCGGACCATCAAGTTGCAATTAGGCTCGTAGGAAGTACGATATAAGCAACCTAGTAGTACGCTGATAGCTCCAGAACTGGATTTCAAACTCTAGATCGTTCCTAGGGATTATACGATAATAATAAAAGAAGAACAACATTTTGTTCAAAAAAAAAAAAAAAAAAAAAAAAAAAAAAAAAAAAAAAAAGGGGGAAAAAAAAAAAAAAAAAAAATAGGACGAGTTTTGTTCACGTTTTTAAAGAAGAACGAATAAACGAACGAACGAACGAACGAATGAAGGAATTAACGAGCAAGCAAGTAANAGGCTCGTAGGAAGTACGATATAAGCAACCTAGTAGTACGCTGATAGCTCCAGAACTGGATTTCAAACTCTAGATCGTTCCTAGGGATTATACGAAAAAAAAAAAAAAAAAAAAAAATTTTTTAAAAAAAAAAAAAAAAAAAAAAAAAAGAAAAAAAGAAAAAAAAGGGGGAAAAAAAGTAAAAGAATAAAAAATAGGACGAGTTTTGTTCACGTTTTTAAAGAAGAACGAATAAACGAACGAACGAACGAACGAATGAAGGAATTAACGAGCAAGCAAGTAAGAATGATGCAGGTTTTTTTCCGCACGATTGCACATGGCCAGACAGATACATACCACATTTCTATATACAAACACGAAAAAGGAAGAGACGAAAATAATGAAGGTAACGAGAGAGAAAGCGACGAATTTATCAAGATCTGCGTCTCGTTCGGTTCGAGTGCACACGCATACGCGTGTACAAGAAAAGAGGTGAAGGAGGGGGCAGTGGGGCGGGTGCGGGGGAAAGGTAAAGTGAGGGGAAGAGAGGGCTATTCCTCCGTAATTTCTTTGATCCAACCACCGTGAAAGGTTTTGCGTAACTCTCTCTACGATGTGACTCAATACTTCCCGTTTGAATATTTTTCTCCCCAAGAAGCCGCATTATGCACTTTCTCGCGATTTCCTGCTCGGCTTTCGAGATGTTAAAAGATGAAGGAGAGGTTTCTCTTCGCAAAGCTTGATCGCTACTACAACTCGAGGATCGATGAAACGTAACTCCGAGCAAAAATTCCTTTCCATTTCTTTTGATTATCTTTATATACTTTCTCTCTTTCTTTCTTACGCACCAACGAATGCGAAGTTTTATTCGACTAGCTTGTTAGGTTTATTGGTTGATTAATCATTTGATAATTTTATTTGTTTGTTTTGATCGGAAAGTGATCTTTTGCTGAAGCCACATTCGATCTTCCAAAAAGAATGAATAATTGTATCAAAGTATTCATAAGTTTTGTGTAAAATGGTGTTCCTATAAAGTAGTTCGAAAAATGGTAGAGGTTCCTACACAATATTGAACGTAATAAAGATAAAAAACTTATAATACTTTTACACTGAATCCTCTTATAACACGGTTAATTCATTCTGGGTTATATCGAAACTGTGTTAAGCAAAAATTATATGATGGAAACATTCGTTCTCTGATATATCGAGGGTTGTCCAAATTTATAGAGGATATAAAACATATATTAAATTGTGCTACGTGTTGAAAATCATGTTATATAAGAAAATGTTATGAATACTCTAACAATAAGGGAAATAAAGAATTAATGAAAGAAATGATGGACATGCTTTCTTTTTGTTTTTACGAAACATCCGTGAGTTTTTCAAGATGGACGTGACTCCTGGCGATAGGAGAGCCTGTTTATCGGCAAACGGCTACTTTTAGAAGGCCTCGTGAGTCACCAGCTTCCATGCAGATAGGCCGACATGAAGCTGCTGTTGCTGCTGCTGATCTTCCTTCTTCTTTTCCTCTTTTTCTTTTTTTTCTCCTATATCTTCTTTTTCTTCCTTATCGAAGGAGTAGAGTAATCCGCGGAGAACCATTAGAGTGGTCGCGTTTATCTTTCTACTTTCCACTAAACGGGATATTTCCTCTCTCTCTCGCGAGTATTTCCAAAGAGTCCACCAGACGACATTTTCGAACTCGTGACTCAGGCTTTTTTACGGTTCGTCGAGCAGGGAATAATCGGATTGGTGGTTCGCTAACATCGTAGATACGCAATATTTCCTGACCGTTGTATCTCGATAAGGACGGCTTCTATACGTGTATGTATAGAAACTAACTACTTACAATTAGATGTTATTATAGTACAAAATGATGTTCGACTTGATTAGAAATTAATTCATACAAAAAAAAAAGAAAAAAAAAGAAGACAAGATAAATTTCCACTCAATAATCCATTAGATTTCGATTGGTCAAAATTATTAATCAACTTATGGAAACTCGAATTGTATCTCCCCAAGATCTTTTTACAATCTCAATGTACAATTACTTAACTAATTAAAATAATTAATCAAAGATCGATAACACGGTGTTAAACAATTATAACGAAAACAATGAAACAAAATAAAGAGAAAAGAAAAAAGAAACTAATGATTGAGAAAGAAAACATTAGAGACCAATTGGTAGATCCATCAAAATGTTCTCTCAATATAATATGTATACCTGAATACAAAGAGAAATGAAATGAAAGGAAGAGAGAAATATATATATATATAGAGAGAGAGAAAAAGAAAGAAAACTAATTCGGCGTTAGGGTTCTCTCACGAATATCCCTAACTCTTGCACGCACGCACGCTAGCTAGAGAAACGGGTCGGACACACGGGGCTCGAAAGCCACGCGTGAACCGTGGGAACGAGTCTGAGCATAACAGGTAGTACGAGACCGTCACGTTTCCGTGCGCGATTCTGACTCTACTACTCTCTGCACGGATATATCTTTCATATACACACAAACAGACGCGTCCAAAGCGCGGCTTCTACACGTCCCGTATGTTTACGTCGACGTCTACTCGATAAAGTGCCTTTACACACGCTCAAATAAAATCAAAGATGTTAGTGCAGTGCGTGTGTGTGTGTAAGAAGCGCACCACCAAGTTCTCTATAAAAGAGATGATGCTCCTCTCCAACAACTGCTCTTACGTGCCGCTATTTCTCAATTATAATTGAGATCCTCTAAGAGAATGCAAAATGTAAATTAAAAAAATCTTTTCTATCTCTCTCTCTCTCTCTCTCTCTCTCTCTCTCTCTCTGTTTACTTTTTTTCTTTTTCCTTCTACTTTAGGGCGTATAATAAATGAAAGCTAACGTAATTTTAGGTTATTCACTCTTTACGACGCCATTTTTGTTTTCAATGCTAATCATCTCTCGGATCTCCTTCTTCTTTTTCTTTGGATTAGTTCTGTGAGCACGTATAACGTCATGCTGATTTTTCTTTTTTTGTTGTTGACGATAAACATTCTCATTATCGAATTAATTCCGATTTTTATCATAACTCCTCGAATTATTATTAAATGATAACATCGAATATACTTGATGCATCACTGTTAAAAAATTCGTTTCACGTGTTAAGAAATTTTTGATTCATTTTTGATAATTATCAGAGGATGATACGAAATCTAACGTTACTCCTATTTCTTTGCCATATACGTATGTTAATTTTAAGTTAGTTTTATACACGTATATGACTCATGCCATTTATATCGAACAAATTCCGATTTTTATCGTAACAACATAGTATCTAAAGTATTACTGTACGAAGATCAGTTACACAATAAAGAAAATAATCTCTAACGATCGCAGCACGAGGATAGACGATCTTTAAATTTAATAACGAACTCGATGCTATACACAACGCCAACCAAGATACTCGTTGAAAATCTACGCGCTTCGACGAAGGCTAGCCTTTAATTTACTTTAATGAAGCTTCGCTAAATACCGACAAGAGGAAAATTATAGCTAAATTTATCTAACAACCGTAGGGAATTTATCATCGCAATGCGGGACAATAATTTCCTTGAAAGTAAAAAGGATCGTCTTAAAACGTTAAAGGTTATGGCAATTAATAGATTAAATACATCCTACAGATCAAAGCTTACATACACACACACACACACGTATATATATAATATTTATATTTTAAAAACATAGGCTAAAATAAGATTATCATAGAATTATCAATGCAAATGACCTATGAGAGTCAAAAGACCAGCTTCGTTACAAAAGATAATCAAATTTAATAAGAAAACACATAAGATAGAGATAGACAGAGTCCTTTTAACGTACGTGACCTGAAAGAATCGATACGAGCACATATATTACATGGATTTATCCCGTATCTGGTTACACGAGAAAGGAACGTAATGAAATATCGATTTATATCAACTGCATATACATCGTATAATGAAAATATCGTTAATTAAAAATAAAAAATTAGATCGGCGACTTTGATGCTTAAAAACTAGAGAAAGACATACGAGTTCGGACACGCCAATAAAAAAAGGAAAACGAAAAACCTAACCTCTCCTTGAACTCCAGCATCACACACACACACACACACACAAATATATACATGTATCCTTTACCACTTCGAACCTACCCAAAATGTCTACCACTGCTATAAAAGATGATCAATAATTGATCTCAAATAATCCTACGGATCATTTTCTTTGTGATTTCAAATATCTATCAATAACCATTCTTAAAAGAGCAACAGTAGGATCAGACATATATTTATATTTTATAAGAAAATAAATATATAAATATATAAATAAGATACATAACACAAAAGATCCGTTACCTTACGTCATTGGTATGACTTATAAAATGTTGTTGTTTTCTTCTATCCTAAGGCATTAGCTCAGTCTCTTCTTCTTCTTCTTTCCAATGGAACATAACCGACGGTCGTGTACCTCTCTCGCTTTCTCTGTCCTTTTCTCGCACACTCTTAATTCTTCGACGTTTAAACTCAGTTCGTTTCTATCGATGCAGTGTGTCCTCGTCGTCGTTGTCGTTCGTCTTCGTCTCACCAGGCAGCAGTGTTTCGATTCAAGCAACGTTTCTACTACTACACAAAGACCTACCCTCTCTGTTATCTATCTCTCTCTCTCTCTCTCTCTCCTTTATTCCTTCTAACATGTGCGCGGGCGCGTCCGAATACGAAAACTAAACACACCAGTCTCCTTGCGTAATAACAAACACTACTTTATTTCTTTTAAGCAACACACCGAGATCAAATCGACCAATAGTTTTAAACGAAAAATACGGTGAGTTGAAAATCGACGACGAAAATTTATTCTTCCTAACCTCAAAATTACGCACGTCGTGTGTCTTTAAAAGAAAATCACGCGCCACATTTTGGAACCGAGTGAGACAGAAAAAGAAAGAATATAACCTTTCTCGTACGATGTTTTTCTTTTCTCGCCTTGACGAACTAACCGTTCAATATCGAGAGAAACAGAGAAGGGATATATGGGTGTGTATGGTAAGTAGGTATATATATAATATATATATATATATATATATATATATCTATTTCTATCTTTTTTCTTCCTTTTCTCACCTTATCTTTCTTTTCCCAATACTTTTCTCACTATCTCTTTCTTTCTCTCTCTCTCTCTCTCTCTTTCTCTCTCACTGAGAAGCAAGGTTCTATATATATATGTACATATATATACCATATGTATGATACATAGAATGATCGTGTAAACTTGACGTGTGTGTTGGTATATGTTTGTGTACGATGATGACCGGTAAAAGTGGAAGGAGAATCAGTCGCCGCTGCGTTGACGATGCGCGTGCGATCCTGCGACTGAGACGCCACGAGTGGCATGCTTAGTTTTACGCTGCGGGATTCAGGCTCCCCCCTCCCCGCCTACCAATACTCCTTCTCCTCTCGCTCCGTTTTATTTCTATCTCTTTCGCTCTACGGGCCCCGCCCGTGGGACACCTCTCTTTCTCTCTCTAACATATGCACACACAACATCACACGGTCTCTCACTTTCTATCCTTTTTTCTCTCCCTCTCGTCCTTTTTCTCTCCTTAAATTAACTTCTTTTTCTAATATACACACATGGCACACACGTAACATGCAACACAAGTTTCTATCTTTCTGTTGAGTTCACACGAGTGAACAACTCGATAGGGCGAATTATTAGCGTCGCAAGAGAAACGTCATTGTTCTTATTCTTCTTCTTCTTCTTCTATTTGATTTGATTTTTTTTTTTTATTTGCGTTTATCCCCTTTTATCCTCTAACATCTTTCGTCCACTTTTTTGTTCGAAAACAAATTGAACTTATACCGTGTGTGTGTGTGTGTGTTAGATAAAGGATAATAATAATTTATAGTTGTTACCATAGGCGTGCATGGTTTCTGGCAAAATTTGACCGCAGTTTCCTCCGTTAGAGCAAGCAAGCAAGAAAGCTTTTGTGCGAATCGGGTGAGAAAAAAGTTGACCCACCAGAATAACTGGTCGGCGATAACAAAAGGCTTCTACCCCTTCGTTCCTCCTCCCCTGCCACCTCTTCTTTCTTCTTCCTCCCTTTCTGTCCACCCTCTCCCCCCCCCCCTCCTTCTCCCAAGTTGCTTCTGAAATCGCGCGACGAATAATCGCAGTCTTCGTCCGTTATGTACAAAACGAAAGAGGAAGAGGAGGAGCGAGCGAGTTTCTTTCCTTTTTTGTTCCTTGTCTTTTGTCTTCTTCCTTTTTTTTCTTTTTTCTTTCTCGTCTTAAAACGAGAGCACGATAGAGTTGTTAAGAAGAGTCAAGGACACACAGCTAAAGATAGTACGAGGTAAGTAAATGAAAGAAATATTAGAGACATCCGATAAGAGAGAAATATTTGTCGCAGATAGCAAAGCCATTTTTGTTAGAACACGTTCAGATTGATAGGATTATTAGCTAGTGGAGTAATGAGATTGGCGGTAACAGTAAAATGTCTTAGCGTGCGTGAGTCACATACGTCAGAATGGTGTCCAACCATAAATCATATTCCGTTAGGTAAAAAAAAAAAGAAAGGAGAAGCAGGAAAAAAAAAAGGATTTAATCGGAATCGACGTCAATGCCTTCTCAAGCTGTTGTTGTATGGGTGAGTGTGATTTACACGTCCTCGGCATAAAGGCCTTACCTCAAAGAAAATTACCTTCGATAATGACGACGATCATTATCTACCTTACTTTTTTTCTTTTTTTTCTTCTTTTCCTTTCCTTTTATTTTTTTATAGCGCTTATAGGATATCTGTGATATTCCTTAAAAGTTTAATTTAGAGCGGAAACGAAGATAAGATCACAAATGGAATATAATTCGTTTCGAGATTAGTATATCTTTCGAATCCTAAAACAACTATTTAGATATATTTACAATAGAACCTTCAGTATTCGAAATATTAACTTGTTCGTAAAGTCATTTCATTTTTTTTTGTTCCTCTTTAATGGAAAATTAATGGTTTTTCTTTTTTTCATATTTATTGTAGAATAAATTCAATTCAACTGTATGTCAATAATTTTGTTCAATATTTGATTTTGGAAAATGGAATACATAGCTTATAGATAAATGTGTAATGCAAATGCACTTGGTATATCTAAAATTTCGACGGATAGGGCTTATACGTGCATTTCGATTTTTTTATGTTACATATATACATTTATATATTTGCATATTTACTTTTCTATGTATTAACGTAAGAGTCTCGTAACTTTCCATGGATTTACTTAGAAATACACTTATAATCTTGAATGAGTATGGTAAATCAACCGCGAAAAATCTTCCGGGTTTGAAGCAATCGATAGAATCTTCTATTGATGCTCTAATTCCACTCCCACGTAGAATTTCTTTCAATCCTTTTGACGATTTCCCGACCTAAGCTTTCTCTCGCTTTTTAATTCTTTCCTTTTTTTCTTTCTCGTCGAGCTCGCTTGTTATTGTCGTCATTGCCGAGAGTACCTATCATTGAGCCACCGAACATTGGATTTGAAGGCTCGATTGTTCCCTGGCGAGAGAAAAGCCTTCCTCGAGAGCCTCCTTCTTTTCGCCTTTACGAGGGCCTTTTTCGAAACGTTTCGAGCTGACGACGGATAACTTATAATGACATCTCCTTTTTCTTTTTTTCTTTTATTTTACTTCGTTGATCGATATTTCGATAATTATCGATTTTTCTTTCCGATCGCGTATTCACATCTTTTACTTTTTTCAAACTCACAATCAGTTTTCCAACTTCAAATAAGAGAATCTTCGATATTTTTATTTAAATTCAAATGAATTTTGTCCATCATCGATCTAATGTATGGTTCACCTATTTGATTTATTTTTAGCCGAGGGAAAAATAATTAAAATATCAAAATATGGAGCCTAATGATCCCGTGAGTACCATTACGGGATCGACATCAGAACGTTTGATCAAATCAAGTTTCAGAGTTAAGCTCTTTGCCATTATTGGCGTTTCTAATATCGAGTGTAAAGCGAAACGTAATATCTTAGGACGATGCCTTCAGGGCTTCAAACTGGATTCACCTTCCAGGCAATCTGTTGGAACGATCTCTTGATATCGCAATCGATTATCTACATCAACGGAAAAAGAGAGTGTGTCCAGGTGTTCTAATTCCTTCGACTCTTAGCTATTTCAAACCTTCTAACGATTTCGTTTATCGATTCTACTGAGACCTAACGTTACCTAAGACATTTTCTTTTCTTTTTTTTTATATATATATATTTCATACGAGTCGCAATTTAGTAAAAAAGTTTCCTCTTTTCTATCATATCATATATATTTATATATAGATGTATGTGTGTGTGTGTGCATGCATCTAGGGAGCTCGATGAAACCCGCAAGCAACATTGTGAAACATTATAAAACAGTGTATCCATGTATGCATGTGTTTATGTATGTAACCTGTACTTTTGACGGATAGCTTACGTTATATCTCGACGCGTATATTTCTGTTCAAAACTAATGACAAGTATTACGATGATGAGAATGTTACTCTGGGAAATAGAAACCGTACAAAGTCCACCGTAATTTTGTACAAAGTTCGAAGATGTTACCACACATATCTCGTTACACGTATTAAAAACTCTACACGGAATAAATTGTATTTATTTTATTTCAAAAATAATTTTCCATTAATCGTAGACGACGATAACAAAAATGATCGACAATTCCACCGCGATCTTTTTTTTTCTTCAAATTATTTTATTTAATTCATCGAAATGTAGATTGAAAAAATAATTGTCCACTTAAAAACGAATGCAATCGCGTTTAGTATAATTAATATGATTCGCATGATCAATCGTATTCCCTTTTTGTTATATTGTCGCCAATAAAACAGCAATGAATTTTGATTGAAAGTATTTTTGATATATCATAGAAATCTTAATAACGTAAAATTGATCGTTAACAAGGAAAGAATGCAAATGTCGTAGAACGTTACTAAGAACGAGCAGAATAAACGAGTTCCTAATTCGTCGACTTCCTTCGTAGACTTGTTCTTGGACTTCCAGTTTCATCCGTCAGCATGAGCTTATTAGGTTCGCGGCCATTTAACCTCTCTTTAAGTCGACGTTAATTATTTTCGTTCTGAGCGTTGTCTTGCGCCATAACTACGAACGTGCCACGGCAGTATGCGTTAACATGTTTCTCTCTCTCTCTTTCTCTCTTTATTTTAAGAGATATCTCAAGACGCACTTTTTTTAATTGAACTTTAAGCAGATATACGAATATCGAAATACAATGAGAGTCCCTTAAATTTGTACACTGTTACGTTTATTAGGATTTTCCTTGAAAATTATTATTTGATACAGAGTGTCTGTTTAAAATGAGAAGCAAATTTATAAAAATAAATACATATGAAATATAAGTGTTAAAAGCATTAAATATGCAAAATTAAAGTATATTAATGTATTTATTTCTAAATTTTCTTCATCTTATAAATATTCTATGTCAATAATTTTCAAGCAAAAATTTGGTAAGCGTAAGAGTACGATTTTAAGGGAGACTCACTGTATATCTCTCTTTAACTCCCTGAGCATCGAGAGAAGCTACAATCTCGACAACTTTTCCAATACGATTTATTTCTTCTTCTTGCTTTCTTTATTCGTCCTACTTTTTATTATATATTTTATATGCCATAGAGATTCCTTTTGTTTTTATGTAACACAAGAAAATTTTATAATATATATATATTTCGTTTTTTGTCGGGAAAGAACATCCATATTAAAATGGCAGCCATCTTGCAACGATATGTCACCCGATCAATTATATTATATTATAA